CAAATTGGCAGGGTCTCATGCAGCTTGCCTCTTTCGGATGGAACAACCGACGACAGTGAGTCACCGCCCCGCATCGCCCCAGACCTGCCGCCTGCGCCTCTTAGGCCCTTCCGAACAGGTACCTACAGTAGTCTTGACGCTCCGGGACATGGGCAAATTTGCGATCCCAGTTTTTCGATCCATTGACTTGGGATCAACCCATATGCTTACCTCCTAGTCAGCGCATCGAGACCAAAAGTCTCGGCAAACGGATACATGGTAGAGGTGAGTGGAAAGCGGGACGAGACTGCCCGACGCAGTGACACACTCGGCCAGTGACTCCCACTCCCCGCAATTACCTTAGCCTTAGTCCCGGTTACTCAATGAAGACATTCCCACAGTAATGCATGGTCCGTAAATGGGAAAGCTATCGTATAATTGCAGGGGTAGCCAGTCTCGTTCCATACTGAATACACCAATGGGATGCGGCCAAGAATCGGGTTGATTCAATTACCATGTTGGACTCAGCCTGCACATCTACGCAGTAAGCATACACACCTAAGGTACACTTACACGGACCTTGCCTCTGGCTGGAAGAGTCGAGTTTCTCACTCGGGCCGCTCAATACAAAAGCCATCGCAAGTCTTGTTCCTTTTTATTACATGTAGGCAATCTCGATCGTCGAGTAAACATAGCATCCTCGTATAATTCCGCTGGGCCCATTACCAATCGACACAAGATTTCTACTCCTTTCCTATCAGATTGGGCTCGCGGCATTTCAAACCATTCACTATCTACACATCTATCCTTCTACGAAAACTACTGGCAATCAAAGCCATTACGGAAACCAAGAGACCAACGCCCATGGAGTTCAGCGTCTCATCCACACACGACACGGCTCTTTGCCTCATTCCACCAAGGGAACAGTGGCCATCGATTGACCGTCTTCGTTTTCAAAATGACAAGGCCTACGCAAAATGGCCACCTCACGTCAACCTCGTTTACCCATTCACGAGGTCTGCAGATTCGGAGTCTCTGCATCAAGCTTCCGATGCCATTGTCAATTCCCTCAAGGCTCTTCAGGAGACTGGTGACCTCGCTAGCATACCCCTTTCCCTCGACTCACCAGACTATTTTGAAAATAAGCACGGCAGCACTCTGTTTCTGTGTGACAAGGACGAAAAGAGGACTCGTCGCCTTGCTTCTTTACGCACCACGGTTCTCACGGCTATCGGCCAGACGCGCCTTGCTCCATACCACATGCACATGACGATTGCTCAGTGCGAGGATACGGCAGGGCCATCTAAACTCAATTTCCTCCTTGGGAAGCTACGACGCCTACGATCGGTCAGTTGGGAGGTAACCCAACTGGCCGTTCTAGTTCGTCTTTCTTCCGGTCAAATGAGCCTCTGGGGTCTCATTGACCTTGTTTCGCCTTCGCTTAGTCAATGCGATGATTCGTTTGGATTATCTCCTAAGTTGGCCTCTGCCGTTATCCCTCAGCAATCATGGAGATTCTCCAGCCAGGAGTTGGGGTGGCGGCCGGCCTCTTCAAACACATATTCACATCACCCAGAGACCAAGGCAGTGGAGAACCTCATCGTCGCCAGCTGGAACGTTTTGGCAGAGTTCGAATGGCCCCCATCTCGTAGCAGATACCCCGTCATCATTGACAACCTACTCGCACGAAATGCCGTTGCAGATATCTTGGTACTCCAAGAAGTGACGGACGACTTCTTACCATTCTTACTCAATGACGACAGAATTCGCAAATTGTACCCCAATGCCTCCCACGGGTCTCCTGACGACCCCAATGCCGGTCCATTACCCAGCATACTCAATCATGTGGTCCTCAGCAAGCACCCATTTTCATGGGAGTATCTTCCCTTCCTACGCCCGCACAAGGGATCATGCGTAATCAGCTTCGGTGATCTGGCACACAGCGAGGGAGAGGAACCTACTTCTCCTTTAGTACTGGCAACTTGTCACCTGAGCCATGGTCTGACAGACGGCGCTGTGGTTACAAAGGAAAGGTTAGCTATAGAATACCGCCTGACCTGATCTTCTACCTGTACTAAAATGTCCTCTTTAGAGAACTCCAGGTATTACTAAGTCACCTCAATTCCAAATACGCTTCGCATCAATGGATCATCGCGGGTGATTTCAATATCACAACATCTTCCTACACTATCGACGCCGCCGTCAGAAAGGGGGCCATCACGGTCCAGACAGAGAATGTCCTCCGAAGCATCGAAACAACTTTGGCAAAGGCCGAACTCCTCGACGTATGGATGGTCTCGCGCATCGAGACCGGCGTGAGTGATAACTTCAAAGGGGACCTCAACCAGATGTTCGAGGGCGAGCAAGGAGCAACTTTTGACCCTACTGCAAACCCCCACGCCAGCAAGATGGTTGGTACCGGATTGGGTAACCGACCCCAACGGTACGACCGCATTTTGGTCAAGGGCGCCTGCTCTTTCCAGATATCTCGCTTCAACATGTTCGGCTTCGTCACTGGCGACAGCGAGACCGGACAAGAGCCCCTGTACCCGAGTGATCACTGGGGTGTTCGATGTCTATTGCAGCGCTCTCACGCAAAGAATGCCGCCAGCGATGCGCGGGCGATTCCTATCAATATGAAGAGAGCGCCAGACGGTTTGTCAGATACCACAGAACTTACTAAGGGCCTGGAGAATCTTGAGGTGTTTCCCTCGGCGGAAGATGAGACAGCTCGGAATGAGGCTCTTCAATTGCTTCGTCAAATTTTAATCGAGTCCGACCAGCCACTCGTGGACAACAAACGAGGCCGTCCGACAATTGTGCTCGTCCCCGTAGGATCCTATGGTTTAGGCACGTGGTCCAGGAACTCCGATATCGACTGCTTCTTCATCGGATCCATCAGTCCCCGTGTCTTCTTCACTCTGACCAGGCAAAGACTGAAAAAAGCAGGTATCCCTGGTATTCGGCTTCTAAGGAAAGTCAAAGCCAAGACCGGCACAATGCTCGAGGTGGAGGTTCTCGGCGTGAGATGCGATCTCCAGTATTGCCAGGCACCCAACATCGCGGACGAGTGGCCTGACGTTCTGAAGCGTCCCGCGTCAGATCCGGCCTTCAGCTTGTCTGCCCAGACACTGCTGAAGCTGAAGCCCGCGAGAGATCTATTCTATCTCCAGCGATCCGTTCCAGACTTGGCCCAGTTCCGGTTGAGCCACCAAGCTATCAAGACTTGGGCCAAGGCGCGCGGAATCTACGCTGCCAAGTTTGGGTATCTTGGGGGCATCCACTTGACCGTCATGTTGGTCAATGTCTGCAAGGTGCTTGTACACAATGGCGGCACCGTTTCTGCTGCTGATATCATTGCGACCTTCTTCGAGCATTATGCGCGGTTTGACTGGCTAAAGGACATGGTATTCGATCCATTCTTCCACAAGAACCTTAGATATCATCGAACAAGCAGAGAAGCCCTGGTCTTGCTCGGGTGGCACTCGCCAACGCTTAATACGGCACTCAACGCCTCCGTCCCGACCGTCAAGATTATCTCAACAGAACTCCGCCAAGCTAACACGTTGCTATCTGCTGACGGAGCAACCTGGGAATCGTTGCTACCGGTGCTAGAGCCCGGCCGAGATAACGTCATGACGCCTAGCGCCGCGAACTTTCTCACGTCGTTCCGGTCCTTTGTGGACTTGCGTGTACATTACTGGGGAGCATCTCTAGAGCGTGGAAGTAGGCTCATTGGCTGGCTGGAGTCTCGATGTGCCTCTCTCCTTGTCGGTAAGTAGCCTGCGAACCCTGTCCCCATTTCTACGTGCTGCTTGTTTGCTGACAACACCCATAGATATCAACAGAAGAGTCCCGCAGCTTTCGGCGAGAATTTGGCCCGCGAGATTTGTCGACGCATCTACGTGCGATCCCCAAAACACCCAAGGCGATTATCAAGGCTCTTACCTCGTCGGTCTGGATTGGATGGAACCGGACGAGAAGCCAGGACGGGGCGACCTGGAAGTTGCACAAAGCAATCTCAGGGCTGTTTTGCAGCAGTTCGAGAAGATGATTCTGAGTGACGAGAAGTACTTCGATTCCACTACATCATGGTTCTGCGCGAGCATTGTAAAGACGAATGAGCTAGGAAATTTGCGATTGGATGATCGCGAATGGGGTGTGTACATCGACGGCGATGACGATTCGGATACAGAAGACGAGGATGGCACCGAGGACGAGAATGAGGAAGAATTGGCCGCGCAAGAGAGGCTCGCCGCCGGAAAGCTGAGCAAGAAGGCAAAAGCAGCGAAACAGCGCTCAGGAACAGCCAATCCGAAGCCCGAGGGGATAGGCAAGTTTCGCACGGCGCTTGATGTGCTGAACCGACTGCGATGGGATCCCGATATTGACAGCAATGACTACGTCATCGGGTACGAGGACAGATTCCTGGGACCACAGGAGAAGGCACTGTCGGCCTGGAAGAGCGAACAGACGCACGAGGAGTTCATCCCTCAGCATCGAATCTTGTGGTTCAAGCGCGGCAGCGACGGGGTGATTGTGTGGCACAGGTCAGAGCGCATCGATTTGCTCTTTAAAAAGGCTTGATTTTGGCGCCTGGGCTTGTGCTGAAGCCGGTAGCCAGATTCGGGGACATATGGATATGGTGCTTCCTACACAATGTAAACCCTTCGTGTGGATAGTTACATCGTTAGTCAAAGCTGCCTTCGGCAGAAAATAACCATACTTGTCAAGGCCTCTCGTGTTCCTCATAAAGCTCTGTGCCTTCTCATTGTACGCTGATATAGTTGAAAATGCTAACACCAAGGCCGCTCCGATTCATCTTCGGAACGAGAGGTGAGATGCAGTATAATGTTTTGAATGTACGAGAAGCATTGCCAATCCATGACTTGGTATCCGCCACCGAAACGCCCTGCCAAACTTCCAGAACAATGCTAAATAAATAAATGGCCGATAAACCAGCCAGAAACCGCAACCGTGAATAACTCAGCGGGTGACATGTAAGGATACACAGGGTCCTTTCAATAGAGCGTCATGAAGACAGCGGCAATAGCAGACTTGTCGTATTTGACATATTTGCCCTTGCCCTTGTCAACCTCGTGGTAACGGTCCCAGAACCGGTTGTAAAGGGGTTCGAGCATCTGCTGAATATCTCTTGCAAGCATCTGGCGCACCTCCCTTTCCATGTTGTACGTCTTGTGCCGGCTCACCATCTCATCAAAGGAGGCGTTGAATGCCTGGAACTTGCTCTTGATGTTATCCTTGTCCTTGCTGCTAAGGCCCTTGAGAATTGAGGCAGAATCAGCCTGTCCGGACTGAGGTCTTGCTTTGCTCGTGTGGATGACATCGAACAAGTGTGTTGAGACCTCTTTGCAATCCATCGTGTACATGCCTGTTGCTTTCTTGCGCCATTGGTCTAGCATGCTCATCCGACCCTCAAGGAGTGGCGCAAGGTCAGAATCGCGAATCATTCGTTCAATGATGACAACGCTGTTAGCCAGGAAGACGCCGATGACAGCTCGGCCACCCTTGAGGACCATCTTGGCCTTTGAGTCCAGTCCTGCCATGAGCATCTCGACTGTGTCTGAGCAGTAGTGTGAGAAGATTTCTTTTCCGTCTGCGCCAATATCAAAGGAAGCAAGACTGGGGATTGCGTCGGTCGATCGTCCATCGGCTGCAGCATTCGACCTCCATCCTCCGTCGCCTAGAGAGAACATGATACTGGAGACAGGCCGCAGGAATTCGACCATGGTCTGCAATCGCTGCATTGTGGCCGATACAACGGGTATCGGTGCACCGTCTTGTGGAAGTGTCTGCATGCCGGCAATCTTTCGTTTCGTGTCATCCAACAGCTCTCCCAATGAAAGCTTCGCAGTCTCTCGCACAGGCCTAAGGGCTGAGGCAAGTGAAGACTTTAGCTCGCCTGTACGCGTCTCCAGGTTGCTCGAGAGACCAGACATGATCTCGGTGATCTCGTAGGCGAGGTAGCAGTCTGTGTCCAAATGCCCCTTGATGTGGTTGTTCAGTTCGCGAAGAGTACGTGCAAGTTCGGCCATAGCGCTCTGGCACGTGGCTTGGAAAAGGGGGCCCCAATCTTCACGGGTGAAGATGCTGCAGATGTTGTCGTACTCGGCCAAAAACGCGCCTTCCATGGCCTGCGCGTATGTACCGATGCCATTGGTGCCTGCGCGGTAGATGGCGTCGGGGTTTTTCTTCTTCGTCGTGTTGACGCTGGCAGCAGCCAGGTTGGCCAAGGTAGAAGAAAGATAGGGCCCTCGTACTTCAGCATAAATCTTGGCAATGGCCGAATCTTGTGGGGCAGCAGCAGCACCAGCATTCTGGCGATGGGTGCTTGAGATGTACGAGTTGACTAGGCCGAGGCGTGTCACCTTGTCTTGTGACAGTACAGGGAATGGCATGTCTTTGGTGATGTAATGTAGCGGTTCAATCGATCGTGGGGTTTCTCCTCGCAACAGTCTGTCGAAATGGCCCTCGAGTTGAGAGTTGCCTGACTTGATTAAGCGGACAAGCTCAGCCATTGTCTGTTGGTTTGCCCGGAGGTTGGAGGCTTGCATGTTTTCAAGTGACTTGGAGAGGCGCTTGATTGAGGCGAGGTAGTTGGAAAGACCAGCCTTGTCCGGGCCGGCACGTATGATCTGTTCTTCGTCATTCTTACTATCGGCGGGCTGACGGAGGCGTTCGATGGCTGCGAGGACAGAATCGATGTCTGCGAGTGAGGGAGCTAATGTCAGCTGAAGCCCTGCTAGGCATGAGCGAGAATAGACTTACTGTTGCCCAAGACCTGGAGCTTCTTCGTTTCTCCACTGAGAGGACCTGCTACTTCTTTGACGCTCTTGCCGGTGGACTCCAACCTTCCCATGCATGCTTGGATCTTCTTGGTCAATTGAGCCGTCTTCTCGAGTCGCGAGTTGAGCACATCAACCTCTGCACGAGCTTCTTCGTCGGCATGGCGACTGGTCGCAGGCCCGACAGACATGGTGTGCGTCCTATCAGCTGATACTGCTATAACACTTGCAAGTTGCGGCCAAGCGTGGTGAAGCAAGGAGTGTCGGAATTGGAGACCGCAGGGAATTGAAGTGTAGGACCGGACCGTCGTCAAGCGCTGTGGGAGTCGTGGGAGGTCGAGATCTGGACGAAGTAACGACTGCCGGAATTGCAATATCGCGTCACCGGTGTTCAATTCCGCGTGCCTTGGGAAGGATTACCCACGAGATCGTGAGATGGCTGGCTCAAAGAAGGTCGAGTGGTCTTCGAGGATACATTGGCAGGCGGCTGGACGGGCGGGGCGAGAGCTTGGTGCGGGAGTGGGACGGTAAAGGGAAGGCGCGTTGTACTCTTGCGGGCACTGGCTGTGTCAGACGCACCCGAATGCGCGCAAGCTGATCAGATGAGGTACGTGTGGTTCTGATATGCTGTCGCCTGTGTGTTGAGAGCAAGTAAGTTCAGGAACCTGGGGGTTGGATGAACAGTTGGGATGGATTATGTCATCCCATGTTTGGAGTGCCGCCCTTCCATGCCTCCGAGGCCCCGATACCTTATCGAGTATCCGTACTTGACTTCACCTCTGCAACTCCAAAGAAGGTCCACGAGATCACCATGCATCGCGACTTATTTCACATCGACTTCTCTCATGACCGGCGTTGAATTTCAATAACTTCACCCAGTCCCTCTGTATTATCATCCAGTACCCATGTGGGGTATCGTACGTTGCCATAGAAGTCTTTCCTTTCTGCTCTCGCAGAGTGCACATGATTCGCAGAATCCGTAGCAGCAACAACGACCAAGTCAATCAGACAGCTGACTCAGACTGCTTCAGTCTTGCGAAGTATCCCTTGATCAGCTTCACCACCGTGTCGGCAATGAACTCAACGTCGCTCCGTGTCACAGTATACGGTGGCGCCACAATGATGTGATCGCCTAGAACGCCGTCCATAGTTCCCGCACCAGGGTAAACCACAATGCCGTATTCCTCGGTGCGCCCAAGATCGCTCATCTCCGTTGCCACCTGTGCTTCTCTGGGCCAAGGTTCCTTGCTCACCTTATCCCGCACAAACTCGATGCCCCAAAAGAGTCCCTTGCCGCGGACATCTCCCACACAAGGCTCGTCCTTGAGGCCCCCTCTCAAGAGTTCTGAAAGCAATTGGCCCATGGCTCGTACGTTGACTAGAAGACCATCCGACTCAATGATATGCTGTACTTCGAGTGCTGCTGCGCATGCAATAGGGTGACCTTGATATGTGTGTCCGTGAACGAAGCAACTGTACTGCGTCAGTGTGGCCACTTTCACCATCGGGACACTCCCAGACACCACCTCATGGACCTCACCTGGAACCCCTCTCCAACACATCAGCTACTCCCTTGTTGACTAGGACGCCGGCAATCGGCTGGTAACCCCCGGCTAGGCCCTTGCCAATAGTCTGGATATCGGGTACTACCCCTTCACCCTCCCAAGCATGAAGAGTCCCAGAGCGGCCCATGCCGCTCATGACCTCATCCATAATAAGTAGGGCACCATGTCGATCGCAAACTGCCTTAACAGCCTTAAAATATCCGCTCACTGATGGGACACAACCCAGAGCCTATGCAGAAATGTCAGTCGACCTCATCATGACTGACGCTACTTTGCGCTTCTTGGGCAGATCGTCTTACGGCCCCAACAACTGGTTCTGCTACAAAAGCGCACACGTTCCCGGGTCCTACCCGGGTAAACTCATCGTCAAGCTCCTGGGCAAGACGGGCCACATATGAGTCATCTGATTCCCCAGGCGCTTTGCCTCTGTACTCGTAACATGGAGACACATGAGAAACGATATTGTCGAGGAGCATCGGCGTAAATTTGGCTCGACGAGAAACGTGACCACCCATAGAGAGTGCGCCGAGAGTTGTTCCATGGTAAGACCTTTCTCGAGCAATGAACAGATGCCTCTGCGGTTCTGGCGTATCCTTCTCTAGGAAGAATTGCCTTGCAAGCTTCATCGCTGCCTCCATAGCCTCGGACCCTGACATGGTTAGCAATCAATCGGTACTGACGGAGTTGATCCAACATACCACTGCTGACTAGATAGGCTCGTGACATCCGACCGCCGGTCGAATCGACGAGGAATTGGCAAAGTTTCTCGCAGGTGGGGGTTGTGAAGAATGTCGAAGGACTATATGCGATGCTATTGATCTGCCTCACCATAGCGTCTGCCACTCTCTTGTCACCATGACCGATACAAGCGACGGCAGCGCCTCCAGAAGCGTCAAAGAGTTTCCTGCCGCCTTCTACAACATAGTGGTGACCTTCACCGCCAACGATGCGTGCGAACTGACCCCGTAGATCTCGATGGAGCACTGGTGAGTGGCTCGCATCAATGAACTCTATGGTATCCAGGGGTTTGAGAACCATTGCGAGTGAGGCACGATATACGTTGAGGCACGGCGTATTGGTAGAGGTCCGTAAGCAAGATCTGGATGATAAAGGGATTAGAGCGGTGTAAGCAGAAGACAACACAGGCAGGCCAAGGTTCGCGTCGAGCCTTTAATACTGTTCACCTCCCATCTCACGAAGCTCCTCATCACAGTTGCTTCTGTATCTGCAATTAATAATGTGTAAGATATCGGCAAGCCGAACCTAGGATCGAGTCCGCCTTTCTGCACTAGGGTCCAAGGTAGCGTACCAAGACCCCGTCGTGGGAGGAGGGGGACGCATTGGCGCATCCACCATGGTGTGGAGAAGGGGCGTGGGCATGGAGAATAGAGTTCGGAGTAGGTAGGTGAGCGATACAACTTGGAGAACCATGACGGAAGCCTTCCACCGAGGCGAATACCCCCGACCAAGCGAGCCGTGATAGCTTGATCTGTCCCCGGTCGTGAGCACAGTGCTCCGCCCCCGTCGAGACGGAGGCACACCATCGGCTTACCCAACGGTGCTCTCTCTCGATGCGTCCTGCCGCTCCAGTACGAAAACGGATAGCCGCGGACCGACGTGCATCAGATGGCACTTCTGGTACCAACCTAGCACTTCATATAGAATAGAAGATGCAAGAAGATCTCCTTGTGAACCAGTCCAACGGCGTTCTGAAAAATTTCACCCATCGACAAGCCCCTGGGTTTCCCAGCGTCTTCGCAAGCTGCGAGTATCCGTTGAAAGAGACCGGACCCACGAAGGTGGAGCAGCTAACAGTAACAGTGTCGGATCATTCCGATGTCGTGTCACCCCTCATCGGGATGCCGACATACTTTCGGGCCGGTCGTTTCGGTGTCACTATCCCGTTCCCAAGACTAGTTAGTACGGGGCCATAGACGCTCTCGTCGCGAGAAGTTTCCTCCCGCCGTAAGTGTGTACAGGTAGCTGGCAACTATACAGGCGTCGTTGCATTGTGAACTTCACGTACGAGGTAAGCGCATCGGCGATATCTTTACACCCTCGTCTCACCCGACGATGCCCGGCCCCCTTGGATTTTCATTTTCGCACTCTACCCCTGTATGCATACAGAGCCGGCTGGGAGTGACAAGGGTTGGCGGATGTGACTCGTCACTAGTGAGATAAAGCCCGAACTTGAGCCCAGCAATGGAGGAAGAGATCCTTTACAGAGGCGACCGACTGGGCTTGCAAGATGCAATCCATGTTGGCAAAGCATCGCGCGCTATCCGCCTGGTGCCGTATTCGGCGATGAACAGCACTGCAAGGTACAAGACACCTCCCTTGGCCTACTGTTGCCGATCGGCTATAAATGGACACGTGCTTACCGGAGGTTAGAGAACCTTAGAGTCTCAAGGGATTCCATTATTCGTACACTCAGTCAATAGAGTGAAATCAGTTCACGAGCTTGACGACCACCAAGCGGATGGCCAACGTTTGACAGCAGACGTTGTATTAAACGATATTGACATAAGTGGGCACCAGAGATTCTGCTTCGTATCTGCACGAAGCCTCTGGGAGCCTGGCTTGCCAGGGTGGCCCAGACTGTCGGGTCCTGGGTACGTGGCTGAGATTATTTGGTGGCAAGTCTGCGATTATTCTACGATTCGGCGGGTGTCCCGTCAGCCGGCCGTCATTGAAAATGGCAAGTCCAATCCTGTAATAAGGACAGATACTTTTGCTCGGCGAAGGACATCGTCGAGGTAACGTGTCATGCGCAAGGAAGGCACAGCATTGATACGGTTGTTATCGGCCTCCCGTGGATAGGGTATGTGAGAAGCCGAGATGTTCTAGGCATCTGGAGTGGTCCGAAATGTGCAAGGCGTAAGATGCGAAGGGTGAGCTGGTATCGTCATGGTGGTAGCGGCAGCTCATTTGCCAGGATGATTGCCCGCAATAGGTGCGAGTCGAGTAACCACGGGACGATGATGGCGTGCCGGAAACAGGGTAGTTTGGCCGTGGCTGGGAAACAACTCCTCATGCCGTGATGGTGCCGCAATGGAGAGCTGCATTTTGGGGCCAACCGTCGTGGGAAGAAGGCCAGACTCTCGAACTCTGGAGCAACGCGGGGTTAGGAAAAAGCTGTGATTACCTATCTCTGTCCAAATGCAAGCTGAGCGCGCGACGGATCATTCTCGGCTTATCTTCAACAATATGATTGATTCATCGGTCAATCCTTGGCCGGGGTTGGGGCTGATTTCAGGTGGTGACAGTCTGCGTTGAAGTGTGTGACGGTTCAAGGTTGATAATGAATTGGGGAACCTGGTACACCGTACGGTATCAGCCAATAATTGTTGGAGAATGGGCATCAGCCACATGCCTCCAGGGGCAAGCCACGGTTGCCTTGCCAAACCAAAACCACTTTACGCGTCCCACCTTGGGGCGCGTCGCCTCGCGTTTTTGGATGGCATTTGGTCCCCTCCTTTTTTTCCTTGTCACTCACACTCTCTGCGGCCGATTACATTTCCCCTCCCCCCCTCGACACTCCAGTATTGACGCTTCTGCACCCTCCCTTGTACCTCATGTTGTCAATTACTTTTGCAAACCTACGCCTTTGATACCCTGTTCTCCCA